TTTCCTTTGCTATAGAAAACAGCTTCCTCCTTGGATCCTCTTCTATTGCCTTACATTGAAAATGTAGTGGGATGGGTAAGTGCTTTAGCAAGAGTTGAACAAACCTAGCTCTGGTACGTCGATCGCTTTCCCAGCAAAATTCCCGCAAAAAACTGGTAAAATTTTTCAATAATGGAAGAAAGGTAATTTTTCAAGTGTTCAGCTCCTGGTAAATGAAGTACTAGAATTCTTATCGATTTTCTTATCTCGTAATGATTGATTATCCTATGGGTAAAATTTAAAGTCTATGCTTTATTTGGTGGATTGAAAGAGGGAGGGTATTTGTAATATTTAAGGGCAGACTATAAAGTCAATCACTGATTTAGAGTATAAAGCCTTCACTGATTTAAGTGTATTTATTGTTGTTTATTCTCGGCGTATTGCGGTGTTTCATATTTGCTACATTTTTATCGACTTTTCGCCGCAAGAACTTCTTTGAGCCCGTCAAGCAGCCTGCTACAGTGGCCTTTTCTTCATTCACACATATAAAGTCAATGCCGACCGTGATCATTAGCTGCCAAATGTTGCTTGATAGTCTTCTCTAATGTTTATCTCAAGCTTTCCTAGCATATGAATATCATTTACATCTAACCTGTCGGCATATGATGATATTTGTTTCACGTGAGGAATGCAATAACACTTTTTTTCTAGAATGTGCGAAACTATTAAACAGCGTCTGCTAGATTCTTCTTAATATCTTGCATTTATTAATCCCTGTTGTTTTTCGTTGTGTTGAACAGTACCACAGTGGCAGTACCTTTAATCGATAGTTTTTGTTCCAGTTTATGCCGGACGCAAACTTTTATATTTCTTCCTTGCAACTCCAGAGAATTTCTCGAAAGACATATTTAAATATTCTTCGAGACCATACACGACTTTCTTTTCTACTATGTATCGCAAACCTTTGTAAACGCTCTTGCAGTTATCGATTGCTTAAATTTGAACTTATCTAGAATTGCATATTCGTAATGATACCTTAAATTGTTATTTCAATACACTCAATAGAGAATAACTGAAATTTTGGGGGTTTATCTCAAGCCAAGCGCAATGCCTCGAAAGCCATAACTCCCCCCTCTAAGAGAAAAAAATAATTATGTCTTCATCTGCAATACAGATTGGCTCAGAGCGTGCACTTTTATCTATATTATGAATCGATCCCCGGATGCTTCCCTTCCAACTTGCTTCAATCACGATATTTTAATCAGCATTTTTCTTAATTGATGTTTTAAGCTATCAAAAGAGATTGCTTTTTGTAGCTCGCAAGCGATACCGATATTTACATTTCAAGTAGCCGTTCTATTGCGGGAATGTACCTCGCTGCATAGATAGATTGAACTTGCGACAAGCCAATTTAGAATAGAGTTTCATCCTATACTTCGTGTTGCGATTTGCTTAACAGGGTAGCCATAGGCATCAAACAAGCATCTCAGTAAAGAAAATGTTAGTACCCAAGCAACATTTTTCACATTAAAACGTGGCCACGCATACGAATGGATTTTACAGACGTTTTCTGTTTGCATTTTGACAATCGAATTCCCACATTTAGCGACCTTTCTCCCACGCCCCTGTTACTGCTTCAGCGTTTAAACCACAAAAGAATTGATTTGTCATACCTATTTGAGCCCGAAATAATGGCCATGGATATTGTATTTCGTGACGGTTGCAAGTTTTTTATCATTCGTTCTGTCTATCATTGCAAAATGTTTCCAACACGCGACGCCTAAGAGCCGTTAAACAAACAAGGTTATTTACTGAAGAGCGAATACATTGAAAGGCTTTTGAATTTAGGACGCAAACCATTAAAAAAGAACAGTTTCTTTAGTGCAAGGAGCCAAAAGAATCTAAGAAAAATCTACTCTCTGAAACGAGAATTTAAAGGACTTAATTAGGCATATTTTTAGATAAGGCAATGCCTTCAAATATTCTTTAGTCTGATAAAAAGAAAACCCTATCTATTTTAGGAGAGGATTCTGAGATTCACATTCTGCGGAGATTCGGTCCGTTACCATTAAGGTAGATTCTACAATTCATCATATCAAGTTGCAATGATGTTTTATTTGATAAACAGACACATGACTCTGTAGTCCTTGATAACCCCAGCTGGATGTGTAGATGTTTGTTTTAATAATCTGCTTTCAATACGCAAGACTATTCGTAATCTGGCCGTGATCATTCGACCAGGCTTCATAGCGAAACCACCAATGAACTCGCTGTTAACTTTTTCCTCTTTGAATTTGAGAATGATAAGTTTAAAAGTTGCAGGAAGGCTAATACTGCATAAATTATACCTTGAGTTTTGACCAAGCGCTTAGAATTCATCTACGGGTGCCGCATCTCTCTCTCTCTCTCTCTCTCTCTCTCTCTCTCTCTCTCTCTCTCTCTCTCTCTCTCTCTCTCTCTCTCTCTCTCTCTCTCTCTCTCTCTCTCTCTCTCTCTCTCTCTCTCTCTCTCTCTCTCTTTCTCTTTCTCTCACTGTAGCCCATTTTAACCTCAAACTTCCTCTTTTCCAAAGTGCCATTCCTAATGTTTGAAGGATACTTTCTGCAGTCCTGAAGTAATACAAAGCTATATTCTTTCAAAACCCTCGTGGCTTTCTTTCTTCTAGAAATATTTTCAAACACATGATTGTTCAAATTAGACCAAAACTAAGTAGACCTGAAATTTTTCCCGTAGACGCTGGCCAAAATATCTGGATTTGCTGTGAACCCAATTATTTGAAATTTGATTTTGTTGTATATAACAAGGCGGCTCTAAGTTGCTACTACGATTTTCATGCGTAATGCGATCATCAGGCAACTTCAATTTGATTAAATTTGATAACATTTTGCGTGAAAATTCTTAAACCCGACAGAAAATAAACTCGCCAACGCAAAACGATTTCCCCTAGTCCCATAAGCCACACGCAAGTCCAAGTCAAAAATCGTTTAGTGAGCTGGCACTGGGAAAGTCGGGAAAATTTTTAAGACCTCGTTGCTCTACATCAATGTTATCACAAAGCCCTCGTCTCAAAATTTGATGCTAAGTTTGCCTTTGTGAAAATAGAACAAAGAAAGAACGAGAGCAAGATTAAACCCATGAAACAAGGGAATATCTCTATTTCTTCAATGCTTTCACTTAACAACAGAGATAACTCACTATAACTACTTAAGATTAAGCACATTACTGTGAACAGAAATACTTGATACTCTTTGCATAACAAGCAGGCTAAGGTATTTCAAAGTGTATCACAAATAAAGACTTTTTTACGTAGGGCATCTCGGCCCTTTAAGCCTTCTTACCCCTCCCCCACGTGTCCCCTTGTGTCCCAGTAGGTCGCTTTTGCGGTTCCAAGTGCAGAAGCGCAAATGAAGAGTGTTTCCACGGGTGTGACTTCAAGAAGAGCCTGAGAACTCGCGACGAAGCAAGAACAACTTCGTCGAAACCAATCCTAGCTAGGTGGAAAGATTATACTGTAAGCGGGACCGACTTTCTGACATTCAAATTTCATTTCAGATTAGACCAACCGATTCAATATCTTTGGGAAGAATACTAACTCCTTACAACCTCACAAGTTGCACCCTGCTTGGTTGCCCCCCTTTAAAAGCCTCAACCAAAAACGTCTATGCAAGAACAGATCGTTAAAAGCTTCTATCTCATTTAAAAGATAACAGAGGACGACAATGGCATGTTACTGTATGCTGTCCTTGTTTCTAGTTTCTTCTCTACCTACCCCATTTAAGAAATTACTGGTCTTATCATGCTACAAACTGTGCAGGTTATTTTAGTTGTAATCTGTTGTTGTAATGTGTTTTCCTTAATTTCTTCCCTACAAGTTTATTCCCACATTCATAATAGAAGATTGCGATCCGACCTCTTTTAAAAAGTTATTTCTTGGAAATCTAAAGCAAGCATTTTTCATTGTTTGAAGCCAACAAGGGGAATGGTCAAGAAAATTTATAAGAAAGTTAATTATTCTCGTTCGGTAATTTCCCGACGTTTTATACTCAGACGATTGTTGTGAGAAATTTACTGCCAATCATGGAGTCTTGAAATTTTTATTTACAAAAGTTTTATCAAATCAGTTACTAGACTATCATTCAAAGGTATTGTTGTGTTCCCGGTTGCTTTCTCATCTAGCCTTTAAATTAATGATTTGAAAAATCAAACAGTTGATGAGTCTTTAGAAATCAAAATAACTGTGTATCTAAAACCTGCTTTTGCTAATTTAATATTTCGTTAGAGTTTGATTCAAACACTGAGCGCTAATAGAATACGTCAGCCGTAAGCCGGGAATTTCGAAGCATCAAAAGAATACGTCATTATTGAGATAAACCAGCTCCTAATTACGAAAGTTATTGTCACTAGGTCTCTATGTCTCATATTGTGAAGCGAACAAAAGAACAAAGACCTTATGAGTTGATATGGTGCGTGGTAGCTTTTTCATCCTTTCGTCCTCATGTCTATCCGTTCTCTCATTGGCTAATAAAATGCAAATACTATTCTTCATAGAGGCAACGGGTTTTTTCAGCTGTATTTTCTAAAGAACCCTTCACGAAGACATTTTGCTATAAAAGGGGATGTACCCGTCAATATTTTCAGATTTCCTCGAGCATACTTCAGTGTTCATATTTTCTTCTCGAGAAGAAGAAAATTTCAACTAAATTAATTCCGGAGGACTTTCGTAGCGGGATTCTGTCATCAGAGAATCTTTTTTTGCATCTTGATTGAATATTGGATTCTTGGTTGTTCATCAGCAAGAACAGAATTCCAATTCTGGCATCGAACTTGAATTGTTGAAGCAACTGTATTCGTGCGCTGTGCCTAGCAAATTGCTTTTTCCCATTGAAACCTGCTTGGCAAGTCACACTGTTGGGCTTGCAGAAGAAACCCTGAAGTTTCTGGTTCACGTCAGATTCTAATCAGAGCAACAGTCAAAGAAATTTTCGCTTGAAGACCACTTGGCCTTTACTAGACGTAACAAGATGAACACCTCACTGCATTGCTCTCCGAACAGCGCATTTACTGCTCCACCAGTAGAACATAATTATGAGTTTTTGCCTTTCGAAAGAACTGCATCTTTCTCGCAAGAGAACATAGATCCATTTTACGAGCAACGAGAATCAGCGCAAGTCATCCAGCCTACTCCAATATGCATGGAAGCGTACAACACCTTTCACACCCCACTTTACACATCACTAGCAGCGCAAAGCAGCATCTCCGTACCTATGATACCGCTACCGTTTCTTCACGAGCTCGGTTTCGAGACAGGATTCATCCGTAAGCGAAACGAACGGGAGCGAATGCGAGTTCGAACAGTCAACGAAGGCTACGCTCGTTTACGAGATCATCTACCGCTTGAGGTATCCGAAAAGCGAATGTCGAAAGTTGAGACTCTCCGTGCTGCAATCAAATACATCAAGTACCTCCAAGAACTTCTTGATGAAGCTGGAACGAAAGAATCAGAGCCTTGCAGAAAAAAGAGGAAGATGGTACACACAGGCGATTCTAGCAACTCAGGAAAATTTTTGAAAATTGAAGAACAAGTCTAGGTAAGGTTTAAATAATTATAATTCAGCATCTGTGAACTGATACCTAAAGTCTGCAATCGTGTATTTAAAGACCTTCTGGCTTCCTTTTCTATTTAGAGTAGGCTTCAGTAATAGACAGATACCATAAACGAATCCTAAAATGAAATTTCGCTTCAAATGAAATGGCCTATATGAATGGCGTTGATTATAACGTTTCAGCAGTACTGACTAATGGGTTATTTTCACTATAAGTTTACTTTTGAAGTATCCTTAATTTTTTGTGTTTCTTACTAACACACCCGTATTTCTTTCTTTCGAACGTTTATGAATATACCTTCCAACTTTTCTGTAGACTGCTATCCAGTTCCCCGTAACCCTTCCCTATTTTGAACTGCCCTCAAACGATATCCTAAAACTGCAAGTTAGGCACCATCGAAGGCTGTAGAATATTGACAACCTGTTAAAGTTTATGCAAAGCAGAACTTCGACAAAAAGTATTATGTATTTAATCGCATGGCAGACGTTACTGTTTTTATATGCTGTTAAACAGCATACCTTCACTGAAATTGTGTACGTTAACAATCATATTTCCTTAGTATGTATTTAAAATAGATATTTAAATTTAAAATGTAGGTGCTTATTATGTAATTAAGACATTTGTATTTAAGTATATTAGAATATATCAAACAATGAAAGGGGATGTGTAATAATGTAGAATTTTTTGAATCGCTTCGCTTGTATCGATATTAAAATCATATTGTATATACAGACTAGTTTATTATGTTATGGAATATTATATATTATTTAAAGTTTCCTACAATCAATGATTTTTTGGTTATCACGAGCTTTCCGATTGACTTGCCATGTCAAAGTTTTAAGTAGTCGAAGTGGTTGAATTTACGATAGACTTAGATAGGAAAATCTTATAAAAGCATTCACATATTCATCGAAATTTCAGGTTTCTCATGGTGCAAATGACTGTTATACTCCGCCAGCCAAAACGTAATATGGCCACCAGTTCCATCAAAGATTTCAAACTCATTTTAGTTCAGGGGCGACACAAGGCCAACTTTGATGACAAAAATTGGGCCGGAACAGTCAAACTATAGCAGTATTGCCTTAAAATATCAATGACGTTATACGCTTTCTCTGTTTTGGTGTATAAAAATCTTTACATCTAATTAATTTTCATTCAAAAAAATAAAAAATGAACAGCCTTTGGCTCCTTATGAAAGAAATACGCTAATTTCCTTTAGATAAATGTGTGGATAACAATGCAACAGTGCTTGTATAAAGGCACTGAACTTCAAGGTATTTAGAACTTGAAAATACAACATTTCATTTACAGGTTTGATCAACTTATCAAAATCTAGGAATTATTTTATATCATTGTCCACGTGGGCATAAAAACAATCAAAACATAGATTGACTCCTTACAACTTCTTGTTTTAGGTTAAACTCTTCAACCTTACTAACTTTTTGGGAATCATTAAAATGTTTCGTCTGATTCTCATTATTTTAACTTTCAAATTGATCCTGTGGATCGGAGCACACTCTCAATTGGGCTGATTTTGGCCCGCTGGTCAGAGAAAACCCTAGATAAACTAGATAAGTGACAACCTCTACGGTAAAATGTACAATGCCTGCCAAAGTACTTGGAACAACCAGCAATTTGTGTTGCATTTTATATCTTTCATTCCTTTTCCTAAAAAAATTACTGCTTTCGCCCCCTCCCCCTAAAACAATGTTGATAATTTAGAAAAATGTCATAAAAGAAGCGCAAAAGTAAGTGTTACATAAAATCCTAACCCGTTTCATAGTATACCAACATGGTTCCGTGGGGGAAAGAAGGATGATTGATTTTTACCCTTGGAAACTGACGTCAGTGTTTCAAGACTTTTGACAGGAATTGCATCTGTAAAACAAGACTTCATATTGAACTTTCAGCAGCTAAATTACAAAATGTTATCCTGTTTTTTTATCATAATATCATTTCTCAATGATGTTAATTACGAATAGAAGATTGAAACCCTGTTTGTAACTTTGTCAAAATCTCTCTTTTATTTATTTGTTATACTTACCTCTTTACTCAATTTGCACAATTAAGTTCATCTTGAGAGTCGAAGATCTGAAAATTTGATAATCTCAAGTTTGATCGCGATAAAGAAATTAACGCTATTTTGATAATCGCAAGTTTGATCGCGATGAAGAAATGAACTCCCTCTATTTTTCATATAATTCATTTCATCATATTCAGTTTACGATTTCGTACTTCCTGGCCATCGTTCCAAAAAGGTTAATACGTGCTCTTGCTTTTTAGATATAGTAATTTTCGAGAATGCTTTAATAAAAGTCACGATCAAGGTTTCGCACAGCGATAAAGAAAATACTTCAAACCTTAATTGCACATTAAATATCAGTCTGTATTCTATAAAGCCTGAGGGGGGATGGGGGAGGTGGATGACAAGCTTTTCTCCATTCAATTGTTTACAATATAATGATAAGTCACTTGGAAAGCTGTATCAAAACTATTAAGTAAGATGTTGCCTCTTTTCGTTGGCTATCACATCAAGGCTTGTTGAAACGTGACCTCATATTCGTTATGTGATATCTTGCACAATAGTTTCGAAACGGGGCTTTATCTTTACACGTAACAAAACTCGGGTGAATCAATCGAAACTTTGATCAATACAATCTACAGATTGGAACCCTGAAATCTGTACATATCACATCACACATAATGAGAATATTGCACGCCCGCAAAGCATGCACGTAAAACAAGGAACTTGTCAGCTATTTTAACTGGCTTATTCCAGCTGGCCAGTAATTTGGACACGGGATTTGATCTTATTTGAGCTGACCTTTAATTTCTGAATCGGATTTTATCCCCATGCAAATCTATCTCACTTTCTCTAGTTTACTATCTATTCCGTGACGTTTCTTGGCATTTGGAGGTTACGAAATATTTCTGGGGTAATAACACTTAAGATATTGAGAAAACTTGGAAGGTCTTTATCTCAATATAGTGCTGAATTGTATTCGCTATTTGTCGAAAAACTAACACTTGTTTGATAATGAGTCCCATTGATAGCAAATCATACTTTGACACATTTTTTTTACAAATTATCTTCCAGATTCTATGTAAGAGAGAAATCGATTTTCCAAGAAAAGTTTTTTTTCACGAAGAAAACCTCTCCTACAGCAAATCTGTGGTTGTCAGAATAAACTGCTGAAAAGTTACAAGCTCTTTTATAAGAATACTTGGCTCCAGTTTTGGTATGGTATTTCTTACTTTTTCGCAAAATTTCCGCCTCATGTGTTTCTTATGTTGTGTCCGGACATAACCTTTGCTTGAAAAAGTAAACATTGCTATTTTGCTTATCACCTTCTGTTATTCTGTTCCTATTCTTTCATTTTTAATTTTTGCTGGTATTTTATTTCTTGAGTTTTGTTGAATTTCAGCCTGCCTTGTTTCCTATGTTGTTCTTATTTTTTGGGAAAATCTTTTCCTGATGTTTCTTATAAGGGTTGTTATTATAAAGAAAGTGTGTATTCAGTAAGCTTAAGAGAAGTATTCTTGTTTTAATTAGGGTAATTGCTTATGTTTATTCCAATAATATTATTGTATCATTACAAGACAGACTTCGGTCGATGGCTTTCCCTACACTCCTGAAATTTTATATATAGTTAGTCTGTTTGAAACATATCAATATTGTTTGAAATCTTAGACACATCCTGAAGACATTAATCTCTTGCTTAATGCCTTATGAGCAAAAGTTGCAACTTGTAACCATCTTTGTTCTGTGCACCAAAGCTACCATAGAGAATCAGTTACAAAATCGTGCTCTGTTGTTGTTAATCACTTTCAATGACTAAAGCCATTAGGTTTTTATTTAACTTTGTTCAAAACACTTCATGTTTAAATTCTTAGCAAAGCTACCAACAATGTAGGTCAACCGCAGTCAACTTTATTCAAAATATTCCTTTTTATAGCACTTCACAACCTCTCCTTTTCATGGCTTCAATTTCTTTTTCAATCATACTTTGACGTCCTTCTAGTCAGAAGGCGGAAATTGCGCTGCTGTGATCTCCGTGAGGGCCCTCCATTCATCTCTGTTCCGTACCGATTTTATGGCTGCTGGCAAATTTCCTCCTTTCCAGTTTTGGATATCTTTTTGTTCCATGCAGTTTGTGGTCGTCCCCTTGGTCTTCTTCATTCACTGCCGCCTTGACAAAACAACAATCACATTCACAACTTCATTGTCACTTCGTGCAAACTTAATGTTATACATGTGTCCTACAATGCATGCAAGTTCTTGTTTGTCCTTTTTGCATCGAGTATTCACTCGCCTTTTTTCAAATATTTCCACTCCTATTATAGTACAACTAGTCGACGTGACCTCATCTTCACAAATATACTCCTATTGTTTCAATAAACCTGCTATAGAAAACAGTTAAAGAAATCCATTATGTCAAAAGCCATGTTGTAGAAACGTGAAGAGCCTTATTGTACATGGTCCAGGTTTAAGGTTTAACTAGATTCTGCTGTAGCGTCCGTAAAATGAGGCAGTAGCGAAACAAATGCTCATGGAATAGGTCTAAAGTTAAACCAATGCCATTTCCACGTTTTGGGTGTGACAGCCGCTTTGAAGTTATTCCGTTGTCAAAACCAAGAGTTTCTGCCATCTAGATGTGTTTGTCGTCGATTCTTGACAAATAAAGAATGACTCGCCCAAGTACTCGGCAAATGGGGCCAGGACAACAATCTTGAGTAGAATATCTCAATGTCCTGAGGGCAGGCTGGTTTGAAGACTGGTTGTAGGGCTTGATGATTGCAAGTTTCGTCTCTGAGCTCTACAGTAATTACGATCATGAGAGAACTGAGTCGTAAGGCTCTCATTGTCACTAATATTATTAATGTTGATAAAAGAACCAAGTTTATTTTGAAGTAGAGAAAGCAATCAATGATGAATGCATAAAGTCTTCTTCTGTATTCGTTGCTCAAAGGTGCTCGAAAACTT